TACTCAAGGTATTACTGGAAGATGCAGACCCGCAAGAAACCACTGGCTATTAGAAGAAAATATTGGTGAAACACTACATGATATACATTTCAGTAACATTTTTAAAATACATCACCCAAAGAAAGGAGAGTGAAAGAAAAGTTAAACACCTGGGAATACATCAAATTTAAGAGTTTCTGTACAGGAAAACAGACCCCACATAAAACAAAAAGACATTCCACTGAGTGGGAGTCAATTTTTGCACATAACACGAATGATAAAGGCCTGGTCACAAAGATACAAAGAGCTAACTAAACTCAAAACTAATAAATTGAACAACCCCATAAAAAAAATGGCAGAAGAGCTCAAGAGACACATATCCAAAGAGTAAATGGAGATGGCCAATAGGCTATCAAAAAATGTTCAACACCATTTGTAATAAGAGAAATGCAAATCAAAACCACAATGAGACCACTTCATACCACATATTAAAATAACTAGTAGAAAAAGGAACTCTCCTACACTGCTGGTGGGACTACAAACTGGTGTAACCACTTGAAAATCTGTGTGGACATTCCTGAAACAGCTAAAAATGGAGCTTCTATATGACTCAGTAATCCCACTCCTAGACATCTACCCAAAGGACACAAAAACAAAAATTCAAAAGTAATTCAAAAGACACCTATGTTTATTGCTGCCTTATTTACAATAGGGAAGATGTGGAATCAACCCAAATGCCCAAAAATAGATGACTGGATCAAAGGGTTGTTGTATATATACACAATGGAATTTCACTCAGCAATTACAAAAATATAAACTCAAGCCATTTGCAGCAACATGGATGGAACTGAAAAAGATCATGATTAGTGAAATAAGCCAAAAGGAAAAGAAAAATATTGGATAGCTTCACTAATATCAGGAGTGTAAGGGATAAGGGATATATAGTGTTATTGTAGTAAAATAAAAAATAACATGAAATAAACCAGAGACATTCTATGGGGGAGGAGAGGGAAACAGGATCAAAACTGGGCTATGGTTCTGACACATGGGTTAAGTGATGGTGGGAAGTCCACAGGGATTACAACTGAGATGGAAAAAAAAAGTACAAAATAAAAAATAATGTAAAAAATATATATTTATAAAATAAAAAATAAAGCAAAAAAAAGAAGGAAAAAAGAATAAAAATCAAAGTAAACTAAAACAGAAATCAAAGGGAGGATTAACAATTAATCAAACTGATAATAAAATTGTAAGCTATACTCACTAAGAAAAAGAAGGAATGCAGCCCTAATGAAAGTAGTCAGAAAAGAGAAAAAGTGATAATAGATACTGCAGAAATGCAAAGATTTAAGAGACTACTATGAACAAGTATACACAAAAACAGGACAAAACTTTAGAATCACACAAACTTCCAAGACTGAACAAAGATGAAACAAAATCCTCTTCCAGTGGCATATAATAATTCTTGTGGCATATGAACAGATCAATCACAAATATAGCAATCAACAAAAAAAGAAGTAAAGATATCCCTAAGGAAAAAAAACAGCCAGAATCAGACACCTTCACTAGTGATTTCCACCAAACTATCAAAGACAATCTAATCTTTCTCAAACTCTTCAAAAATATTGAAGAGAGGGAAAATTCCCAAAAACATTTCAGGACACCAACGTTATCCTGATCCCAAAATGAGAAAGTGACTGCATATTCAAGAAAGAGAAAACTATAGAATAATATATCCAATAAGCTTACATGCAAAAATCCTCAACATATCTTAGGAAACTGATCCATACAAATATTAAGAGAGTCATATTTTATGACCACAGATGCAAGAATTGTTCATAAGCATATACAAGTTAATGTTATTCACCATAGCAACAAAAGGCAAGATGAAAAAACTTTATCATGCCAATACATGCAGGAAAAGCATTTGAAAAGATTCAATATCCATTTGTAATAAAATCTCTCAATATTAGGAATAAAAGAAACATGTCTCAATATAATAAAGTCAATATATGACAAATCTACAGCAAACATAATAAATGATGAAAACATTTCCCCTAAGATCAGAATGAGACAATGATGTACACTCTCATCACTACTGTTTAACCTAATAAGAAAAGTCTTGAGCAATTTGGTAAGAAATGAAAAAGGAATAAAAATTAGAAAACAAGATATAAACTATCACTATTTTCAGAATACATGATATTATACAAAGAAAACCCAAGACTCCCCCCAAAAAAATATTGCTAGGAAAAAATAAATGAATAAAGTGTCAGGATGCAAAAGCAATGCACAAAAATCTGTTGCATATGTAAACAATGAGTTAAAGGAAAGAGAAATTAAGAAGACAAAATATGAAGAAAAAAACTGAAATATTTGGAAGAAAAGTTAATTAAGGAGGTGATGAACCTACACAATGAAAACTATGAAACACTGTTCATAGGAATTTTTAAAGCCCAAGGGAAGGAAAGATAATAAGTTTTCATGGATTTGTAGAATAAATTTAAATGCCTCCGTTACCTAAAGCAATTCAGATTCAATGTAATATCTATGGAAAGCCCAATGATATTTTTCGAGGAACAAGAACAAATATAAAATTTCCATACAACCACAAAATAGCTCAAATAACAAAATTAATCTTGATAGAAAACAAGATAAGTATCACACTCCCTCGACTGAAACCACACTATAAAGTCACAGTAATATAAGCAGTAATGTATTGGAACAAAGCAGAAATAAAGAACCAATAGTATAGAAAAGAAAGCCCAGAAATAAACCCACATAGCTATGATCAGTGACAAAAAAGCCAAGACCATATTTGAGAAAGGAAAGACTCTTCCACAAGTAGTAATGGGAAAGTTGGCCAGAAATATGCAAAAAAAAAAAAAAGGAAAGAAATTAGATCCCTACTTAACACTACTAGTAAAAGTTAATTCAAATGACTTAATTATAAAAAACACAGAAGAAACAAAGGCAATATACTCCTGGACATCAAACTCAGAGATGATATTAAGGAAAGGAAATGAAGGACTGGCAAAGGAAATAAAAAATAAATAAGACAATAAAAATCTTTTCAACCGTGAAAGAAACCACTCACTGGAATACTATCAACATCCCCACAGAATTTTCAATATTTTATTCAGAGTTGGAAATGCTCATCTTACTATTCATATCACATTTCAAGGAGCCTACTCTTAAAGATGAAAAACAAAATTGGAGGACTCAGACTCAGCTTCTGATTTCAAACTTACTCATACTTACTACTTTCCTACAGGAATCAAAATAGTATGATAGTAACATAAGAACAGATATACAGAGAACAAGGTGGCGGCAGAGTAAAGATGCCGAAATCACTACATCCAAGCTCACACAGGAATATAAAACTAAAAACGGACTGTAGACTTACATACTACTAGTTTCAACCCAAATGAGAACACCCTGGACTCACTAGAAGGAAGATAACTGAGGGAGAATTGGTGACTGGGGACCTCCAATAGGGGAGCTCCCATCCAAGAGTGACCAGGTGCCCAGGCCCTAGAAAGTGCCTCAAAGGAGGCTCGGTGAGCAGAACCCTGCAGGTCTGATTGTGGAGTGCCCAGGCACCCAGGTACTAGTGCTGCAGACAGAGGATTCCTGCTCATTCAGCTCGGTGAGTGGAACCCAAGCTGTGGGGAAAGACTACATAGGTGGGCACATAGAGCCCAGGAGGTGGGAGGATGAACTGGAGACTGGTGCAGCTGCAAGGCTTTCAAACCTTTTCCTGGCCCCCACAGCATAAGCCTGAAGGCTTGTTCCCACCATTAGTCACTAAGGTGGGGCCAGCAAGTTCACAAAACCCCTAAGGTAAAAAGGATAAAAAAATGTTTAGAGTGAATCAAAAACAACCCTGGAAAGCTAGAACACTCTTAACATTCCTCCAAATGGTTGGGAAAGACTGCTCAGGGGGAGACTGTTCTGAGAGGGTACAAAGAACCCTGGAGGCGCTGAGAAAAGACTGGCAGCCTGAACAGCTGGGAGGTTTGCAGCTCTTTTGGCATAGCCTACAGCCCTGCATCATCTCCAACTCCAACAGCAGAAGCTAGCACCAAGGTGTTACTGAGCAGCAGTGGCCAGAGGACTTGTGAGCCAGTAAAAGACTACCTTGCAAGGCTCACAGTATTCAGAAAATAAACAAAACCAGTGACTGGCTCAAACACAAGCCCAACTGTAGGGAGACCTACAACACTTCTAAAGTGCCACAAACCCCACAGACACATCCAAGGATAGAGAAAACCTGGGACATTGGAAGGCTACAAGATCAACAGGCACCTTCCAGACACAAGGACCCAACGTGTTACTGGAAGAAGCTGAACACAAGAGACCCCTCACTGGCAGAGACGACAGGCATAATTACACACAGAGAGGGCTGGAAAATCAGGAGATATTGAAACAAATCAAGGCTCAGAATACCCTCCAAAACTAAAGTGTCTCGAAGTCCCTCTGCCACCCCAGAAAGAACATTACAAAGAATGCTGGGCAATAATAGCAAAATTGTTTATTAATGAATAGAAAGTATTAGAAAATACAAGACAGAAAAAGAAGACAAACAAATATACAAGCAAGTTCACAAAGAGAAAGTTCACCACAAAAAAGATAAGTCTCCAGAAACCTCCAAGAAATAGAAGAACTGCTCAGCCTACCAGGTAGAGAATTCAGAATCATCATGATAAGCAAACAAAAAAAGAAGAAGTGAAGGGAAAAAAATGATATTAGGCAAGCCATCAAGTTGAAGAATGCAAACATGGAAATGAAAGAAAGAAATGAAAAAGAAAAAAATTATATGAGACAAGCAATCAACGAATTGAAGAAAGAAAATAAGACATTAAAAAAGGAAATAAAAGTCTCCGAAGAAACACTAC